ATGTGTCGTACGTCCGCTGGAAGAAATGTGTCGCAACGAGCTCCTCGTGTCGCATATTAATGTGTCGTACATTGTGTCGCAAAGTGCGACACATGCGACACATGCGACACATTTTATCTTAGTGTGTATTGAAAATGAGATAATTAGAAGTAAATTAAAGTCCTTAAAATATATACATCATTCGATACAAAATGAGATATTGAGTTTAATACAAGAAAATATATTATTTCGAATTATATTAGAGATAAAAAATGCCAAGTTTTTTTCAAACATGATGGATGAAACAGCTGATATTTCTCGTCATGAACAAGTATCATTGGTTATGCAATATACTGATGATCAATTTCATGTTTATGAACGTTTTATTGGGTTTGAACGAGCATTCAGCACGATTGGCAATGGTTGAAAAAAATGGATTTAGATGTTAATAACATAGTTGGTCAGTGCTATGATGGTGCTAGTGTCATGTGCGGTACTTATAAAAGTGTTGCAGCACGTTTAGTTCAAATTGTACCTACTGCTTTATATGTTCATTGTAATGGTCATATTTTAAATTTATGTTTAATTGATGTAGCACAAGCTGTAGTACCTATTAGAAATAATTTTGGTGTTAAGAATCATCTATATATGACATTCGCGAAAAAGAAAAGAGTGTACTAAAATCGAACGTTTTCGGGAAGGAAAGCCGATCAGTTAGACGTATCTGAGCATTCAAGAGATCCTTCCAACTTTTTTGTCGTTTTCAGTTGTTTTTGCTAAATTTGCAGGTAAAATTAGCTTTGTGCTCAATTCTAAAAAGAGCAATATGTCCGAACTCTGTGATTCATCATATACAAATGCATCTTCTATATAAAATGTATATCAGTCGATTGGTCAAGAAAAAGTGAATTTGACCAAATGAGCTCTTTCAAAAATAAAATTGGAGCTAGGTGTTCAGCTAGAAGAGAGAAGTGAACTGAAACTAGATGTTTTCAGACAGCGAAAGCGAGGTCCATTAACAATGCGACTTTACTTAAAAGTCGTTTGTGGATGACCGCTTATTAAGTCACTTTATAATCTGATTGAAGCATCAGCTAAACGTCATAAAATTTTTGAAGAGATACAAAAGGACGCAGGTTTAGCATCATTGTCTTTAAAGCAATTGTGCGACACACGCTGGACATGTCGTCATGAATCTTTAAAAGTTATTGTATCACGTTATACTGAAATAATACTTGCTTTGGAAGAAATCGAAGTTGGCGATGCATTTATAATGCTACCAGTTATACGAACATTTGATTTCATTTTTCACATTCATTTAATGAGTGAGATGTTTCTTCTTACAAATATATTATCAAAATATTTACAAAAATCAGATGTGTCTTTGATACAAGCTTTGGTTCAAGTCAAAGCTACCGTCGACTCACTCGAGTCACTGAGAAATGAAAATGAATTTGATAGAATCTGGAATACAACTGTGGATCTTTGTGATATAAATAATATTGATGGACCTTGTGAACGTCGAAAAAGAAAAGTTTCTATACGTTTAGGTGATGGTGATGTTGTGTCTACAGCATTAGCTATTAAAGATTCATACCGTATCAATTCTTTTTATGCTGTATTAGATGTAATCAGATTATCAATTAAAGAAAGATTTAATGAAAATAATATCAATGTAGTTTTTTTATGCAAGAAATTTTTTTAACCAAAGTCTTTTTAAATGATGACGAATTAAAACAAATTGTTAAGTTTTATGGTATGAATTACGAACAATTAAGAACTGAACAACGTATGTATAAAGTAACACTTGGTGAAAAAGTTCAGTTGACACTAACATTACTTTCACTTCTTTGAGAAAATCACAGTCGAATTTGACTAAGACTTTATAGCCCGTTCATTGACAATGGCAGTAAGTGAACAAAACCGATGTCAGATTTTTAGAAATCACTTCTGAAAACTACGACAAGCGCAGCCTAGTCAACAAACCTTGTTCTCCTCCACCTCCGATGGCATGAACGTGGATACCGATGAGTCTCGGAATAATGAGTTGATCTTGGGCCGAAATAGGAAGAATGAGCAGATGACTATGTTGGATAGAATCAATAAATGAGGCCGTTTGTGATGGATCTATCATGGCAAGTACTTTTCCGGCTGCGATAGCCACATCCTTTCGTTGGAGCGTGCAAACATTTTCTGGCGCTGTACTAATCGAATTCGGAAGTCTGTAAACTTTTCCGTCGGTTAAAACGATCGTTGAATAAGATTTGTTGAATGGAGGCAGCGGTTGAAGACGCGCGGAAGCATCACGAGTTTGGCGGTACTGCTGAAAAAAGAAGTGTAGCATAAACGTTGAACACCATATACTTCTTTCCAAGGTCCATGGAAATACTTAAGGAAACCTTCTAAAGCTTTCCGACTAAGTAGATCACAAATAGTATTGTCATTCTGATTAATTTTATCAGTGCAAATCTATACAGACTCAAACAGGTTCGGCTCATCCTTCCAAGAGGAGACTGAAATTTCAGTAATCCATCACATCTATCCTACTGCGGACCCAGAAAATGAATAATCTATTTCGTAGGGGGCATGTACAACAAAAATATCAACGTCGATCAGAGTTGACAGTTCAAATATATATAGGTAATCATGTAATGGTTTCACAGTCATTTTTTTTGTAAAATACATCTGACATGGAAGTCTGAATTGAAATACAGATGAACCAACTTGCCTTCAATATTGTATAACAAATGATATTTCAATTCAACGTTCAAACTTTTATGCATTTCTTATTATGCCGAAATATTACATATAAAAAGTTCTGGGACAGCTGTTGATAACAGTGTAAGAAAAAAATTTTTTATCTGTTTGTTTTGTATCTCGTCCTCATCAAACGATTCTTGGTGAATGAAAATACATCAACTTTTTCTCACTTTGAAAAACGATTCATTTCCGAATACGAGATTTTATGCTTACAAGACAGCAGAGACGTTTTTTCTAGCACGCAAATTCGCAGTTTTATTTCAATCAAAGTAGTAGTATTACTTATGGTTTACTGATGACTTTTTCGATCTTAATTGCGTTCTAGTATAACTTCAAATGTGATCATCATGCAAAAGACACGTTTTTGCATGTAGCGGCGCTGATTGAGAAGAAATCGAAGACAACGCACTACTTGACTAGAGGTATTCTGAAGAGAACGATTGTTAGAATATAGAGATGGGTGGCTCCGATCTCTTGGTTATGTACATATGATATACTGTTACAGTTGTACATGTCGCCATGCAATGTGATGCTTCTAACTCAACTGTCATAGAGCATAGCCATTGATTGGCGATCAGACTCACATCTTAAGTTATTTCAATCTAATTGGGTATATTCTAGGAAAAATCTTCGATGTTTCTGCACAAGATCCTTGACAGATTCGGCAAAGATCCTCCACGAATTCGCTGTTTCTTCCTAGAGGAAGCGATTAAATCCTGAAGAAAGTGTGTAGCCACGGAATTTCAAAATTCTGAGCCGGTAACCACTAGATTTAGAACAAGGAATTCATCTAGAAAACCGCAAGTCCTGAAAGAAACGTGTAGTCATGACATGGCAAAGTTTCTCGCAGGATTTTAATAATTCCCAAATGGAAAAAGAAATTCTCATTACATCTTGCAGCATCTTACTAGGTTTCCTCAGTGGTATTACCAGATTTCTTGGCAGGTTCTTTGCAGAATTTTCCAAATAGAACATAAGAGTATTGAACACATTAGGGTATCGACCTCTAGACCTTCCTTTTACAAACTGATCAGCTTACCTGGCTGGATTGTGCCATGTTATTGTATATAACTTCAACGTTCAGTATCCTCATTTTTGCCTTTAATGTTCACTTCTATTTGAATTTTATATGAAAACT